TAGGGTAAATACAAAAATATATATTAATATATATTTTTACATTTACCCTAAATCTATTAGGATTACATTAAAGTTAAAAGTTTGACAGATGTGTCACAAGATGTCCATCCAGTTTTTCTACTCATGCTTTCTCCTGAATCACCACCATGTTATAGGAACTGAACTTCCTGGGTAAAGACAGAACAGGATTAGGATTATCCCTAACAACCAGCACAAAGTCTTGGTCCCTTTTCTATTTTTATTTGACCTATATAAATGCTGTGTAACATATTTGGGAGACATTGCTCATAATAATAAAAAAACCAAAACAAAGTATTAAGTATACACATACTGGGTTTTTCTCTGGAAGAGTAACAGATGAATGCTGAATTCAGTTTGACTGTGGATGATCCTAAGAGGTTGAGGCCATTTTGCTCCTAGATTAGAAAGGGGGAGCTCCTTCTACCTTTTCCATTTTCTTTATAATATAAAAAAACTAAAGAGAGTAAAATTGTGGGTAGCTAATTAGTTGCTCAACAACAAGAAAAAAATGTTTAGGAAATCAATAAATTGAATTGAACTGAATTGAATTGAAATGGTGTTAATTGGAGTGAATTTAGCTGAAATGAAACACAGGTTTGTTCTTGACTCATCTGTTTGGAACCAGACCATAGCACAAAGTGCTTCAACAATACTCTGCATGAATCAAGCTGGGCTTCCTTTATTCCCATCTTGAAAAACCTATTAATGATAATCCAGTGGATTTATATGAATAATTTATGCCAATACAGTTCTTAATGTGTTCTAGTCTTGCATCTCATACAATCACAATATTATTTTACAGAGTTCCAAATATTGCATATAAAGGAAAAGGAACAGCACGTCCTTTAAAAAGCATATAAACAAAATTCAGGTAGTAAAATATTTCTGTTATATATTTCTGTTATCTGTCTATAAATTACTAAAATGGCTTTGCAACAAATACATAAAATACTTTTTTCAATCTGTTAAGCCCCCAAATCTCTCAGGTCTGTAGGCTCAAGTCTACTCTGCATACAAAGGATGAGAACCAAACATGAAGAAATTGTTCTTATGCTCCACTAATCTGGAAGAATCTCCCATAGAACTGCAAAAAGTGCTAAAAGCATAAATTGCTTGAAATTGAGATTAAAAGCAGACTTGTTTAGAGTGGTCGTCAACTGTGCTATCCAAATAGTATTACTTATTCTCTGTTGGGTCATTTTATAGTTTTTTTTATAATAATTCTATGATTTTAATAATTTATATTTTTCCCCTTTAACTATTCATGTCTAAATATTGCTACTCTTACTTGGGTAAAATAGGTGTCTACCTACCACAAATAAATTAGTCATTAATTTACCCAATATCAGATAAATAACACTATATTGTGGCTGGAAGTTCTTTATCCATTCCTGAAATCAATCTATGCATTACCTTCTATAACCATACATTTTCAAGTTCATATTAAAGAAATATGATCTGGAAATTGTATTCTTCTGCCTGAATTTGTTCATTTGTAATCAGGCAATGTTTTCTTGTTTTTAATCTTTAAATTACTAGAATTAGCATATAGAGCTGTGCTTAAAGGTTTATATACCCTCTCATTAAAGAAAATTACCAATTCACACTAGTAATTCAAATAACAAAAAACTGAAAAAGTCATAAGAAATAAAAAATTAACTTAAGGATAATTAAATATATACTATATATGTTTTTATTTTGTTTTTATTTATTATCAACAGTTATTGCCTGTCTGTTTACCTTAGTTTAAATAAAAATTTGATTTTATGATTCAACTAACTCAGTACTTCAGCATACATTTTTACGTATTATATATTTTCTTGGAAAACTATTTCCCACTTTTCTTGAATAAAAAAATTTAAAGTAGTGCTATACTTACTCGATTAAAATATTTGGGCCCTGACCAAATAATAATAATAAACTTATCTTGCAAATATATTGTCTAGGATAGGATAGGGTCTTAGAATCAAGGATAAACGTTTTTTACATTTGCAATAAAAGTAGTAAGAAATTTGATAAACCACAATCTGTGGCAAGAAAACTATTTTATTTTAAGGGATGTTTTATGTGTATATTTTATATATTAAAACTTTGATAAATCTTGCAATATGTGTTTTAATTGTAGAGTAATCTATTTATATATGATTTGTGAATGTATTTACCATTTTTACCAAAGATAATCAAAAGAAATTCAGATATCTTTAAAAATACAGTAAAATAGCCTTTCAGTTTTGAATAGCCTTTCAGGGAAAATATATTTAGACAGTGTTGTTGTCTGAAAACCTCCATTGCCGGCTCTTGAGAAGTATTCCGACTGCTGCACCGATGCAGTACACTTGGAGATTCAATTTCATTCAATTTATTTACATAGCACCAAATCACAACATGGAGACAAAAGGAGACAGAAGCAAACATACAGAAAGAAGCAGATATATAAAAGGAAACTGTAAACCAGCTCCACAGGCGGTCCTGACCAGGAAACATACAACCAGGCAGACGAGCTCTGAGTCAGCTCCCATGTCAGAGGATGAAGAGAGCACATCCAGCCAGTCATAGTCAGAGAAACAGGACTACACTGAAAAACAGGCCGATCTCGAATATCTATACACAAAGGTGTTGATGGCAGCAGCACAGCTGATATTTCTCACCAGGATGGTGTTGCAGCCAAACAGGAGTAGACCAGATGAAGCTACTACTGTATGAGACAAAGCCGAGAAAGCATAACATTAGAGATTGAACTAAGGTATTCTGCAGAGTGGGAGAATAGAAATAGAATAAAGCAGAATGATGAAAAATGGCTCCCAAGAGCGATAACTCAGTATAACCTGAGCCACTCTAACTATAAGCTTTATCAAAAAAGGAAAGTTTTAAGCCTATCCTCAAAAGTAGACAGGGTGTCTGCCTCGTGAACTAAAACTGGTAGTCGGTTCCACAGAAAAAGGGCCTGATCACTAAAAGATCTGCCTCCCATTCTACTTTTAGAAATCCTAGGAACCACTAGTCAACCTCCAGATTGAGAGCAAACTGCTCTGCTAGGAACATAAGGAACAACCATATATCTGATATAAGATGGAGCTTGGTCATTTAAGGCTTTATGTGTGGAGGAAGGAGGATTTCAAATTCTATCTGGATTTAACAGGAAGCCAATGAAGAGAAGTCAGGATAGGAAAGATATGATATCTGTTTTTAATTTTCAACAGAACTCTGGCTGCAGCCATTTGGATCAGCTGAAGGCTTTTAACTACAGTTTGTGGACTTCCTGATAGTAATGAATTACAATAGTCCAGCCTTGAAGTAACAAATGCACGGACTAGTTTCTCAGCATCACCCCTTGATAGGATATTTAAAATTTTTTTTTTGCAATACTCTGCAGATTAAAAAAGGAAATTCTAAAAACCTCTTTGATATGGGATTTAAATGACAGGTCCTATTCAAAAATAACACCAACATGTTTTACTTTATCATCTGAGATCAATTTAATCCCATCCAAATGAAGTGACTGACTAATCTGCTTCCTTTTCAAAGACTCTGGTCCAAAGACTATAACTTCTGTTTTGTTTTCATTCAGAAGAATGCAGAATGCAGAGAATTTTAATAACGGGTTTTTATATCTTCAAGACAAGATGGAGACTTCCGTATCCTTGACTATGTTTTTCAACCCAAACGGAAGTATTTATAGGCTTCTGCTTATATTCCTCCACTGGTGAGAGCAGTGGCTTCATGACATAGCATATGTTTGTGTTTCCTAGACTATATTCAACTCAACCGTTTGTTATACTGTTATTGTTTGGGCAAATTGGTTCTCATGAGAAAAGACCTATTATGTTTCCTAATTAAACATAATTAAATTTAGGACACATTCTAGAGTCCTATAACCACAATTCCTTACAGTAGGTTACAAACCTTCAGACAGGTATGATAAG